TAAATGTGGTCTTGGTATGAGAAAGCATTTTTCTCAGGCCCAGGAAGACTGACTGCTGCTCTGAATCTGAGGGGTGAAATAAGACCCGTGAGAGAGAGAACGTGGTTCTCTCCTGGGCAAACACTGATGACATTTTTATCAAATTATCTCTTGGGCTTATTGTATTCATTAGCATTGTGTTGCCTCATTCTGGCCTGGTGCCTTATTTCTTATTTAAATATGTGTCCTTGTGCCCCTGACATTGGAATGGAAACAGCACCATTTCCCCAACTGCCCCAAAACACTGTCTAACATTTAAATGTGTTCAATGATTTCCAGTTTCTGGGACCCTAGCATTCCTGCCTGTTCGCACAGTGAAGGAGTGAAGCTGCCATCAGAGCCCCTCCTGGCAGCATGAAGGGGGAAGGTCCGAGGTGAGCTCACCCGTCACCATCCCGCCGAGGTTTCTGGGTGCGGTAACACATCTTGTAAAATGACGCGCTATGCAGGTCAGCCTCCAGAACTGGCCGTTTTCCAAAAGTCTGCCGTTTCCAGAAAGGGTGGCATTTTTTTTTTATATATATTTTTTTTTACTTCCTGTATTTCTGCCCCGTGTGGCTGAGGGAGGAAGCTGAGTTTAGTGGTTAGGGCAATCGACTGAGTCAGCAAGCCCAGTTTCTATATTTGGTTGTATGATTTGCTGAAAACCTTTGGCAAACCAACTCAGAGTCATGAAAGAAGTCTTTGTTCTCTCATACGTAACTTTCCCAAACTTCAAGTGAAAAATGTCTCCGTTGCTGAAACTGTACTGAAACTCTGCGACATAACGCTGGACTTCCCCTTGTGTTTCTTAGTAATGGTCTTGTTAGGGGGTCAATAAGCCAACAAAACCAACCAAGCAAGAAACAAACTAAGCCTGACTCCAGGGCCAGCTGGTATACCCTCCCAGGGTGACAGGGCCATCCACAAAGACGAGAATGAGAATGGAGACCCTCAGAGCTATGACCAGGTAAATAAACACCCTGGTCTTGCATGAAACCAGCAGATAAGAAAGAGCACACTGTCCCAGCATAATAAAGCATTGGTACTGTAACTGGTGTCTTAGGGTTGACTCTAGAACCAGCTTTTCCTTCCTTTTAGATATTTAGTTGCAGAAAGGAGAAGGTATGTTCCTTGGAGGAAATTAAGAGTCCAGCACTAACCGGTTTGGCTCAGTGGATAGAGCGCCGGCCTGCGGACTGAATGGTCCCAGGTTTGATTCCGGCCGAGGGCATGTACCTTGGTTGTAGGCACATCCCCGGTAGAGGGTGTGCAGGAGGCAGCTGACCGATGTTTCTCTCTAATCGATGTTTCTAACTCTCTATCCCTCTCCCTTCCTCTCTGTAAAAAATCAATAAAATATATTTAAAAAAAAAAGAGTTCAGGGTGACAACATGCCTTTTCATTGGCTGAGCTGTGTCATTTTCCATTGGCTGGGCTTATTGCTGGGCAAGAAGAAAATCTTCCTGCCTTTGGCTGGGGTAGTAAAGTAAATCACTTTCCTGTTGAAGACGCAAAGTACTGTGTTCCTGTTTGGGATCATGGATGGTAGGATATAAGAGCTCCTTTGACAGCCCTCCCAGACTCCAATTTTGATGTGAAAAGTTGATGTTTCCTTTGTTGATTTTCATGGTCACGATGTGGGACAAGACTCGGTCTGGAGGTCTGGGTAGGAAGCAGAGCACCTGGACCTGGCAGCTGCTAGTGAGGGATCTGGGTCTATATTAGGACCAAGGGAAACCATGGAGGGTCTCAAGCAGGAAATGACAGATGACTTTTTAAACAATACCTTCGTTTCAGTACAGCCCAAGGAATATGGTCAATATTGTAATAACAATGTAGGGTGCCAGGTGGGTATTAGACTTATGGGGGGGGGGTCACTGGGTTATATGTGTCTAATCACTATGCTGTACACTTGAAACTAATATATTATTAAATGTCAACTGTAATCGAAAACAATTTAAATGAAAATTTAAAAATACCTTAGTTTCACTTTTAGTAATAGAACACTTGATATTTGGAATAAATCTCTTACAAAAAGCAACTGAAAATACTGGACAAAATATGTGTTAGTATTTCCTTAAAGTGACAAAGTGCTAATAAAATAGTGACGTGTCCCTGGCATGGGTCTGAGATGCAGGACCTCGGTCCAGCTGAAGGTGGGTTTGGCCCTGGGGCGTTTGCTTGTGGATCCAAGAAGTGGCTGAGCTGTCCTTTTGGCAACAAAGCAAACAATCGGCCTTTGTCCTATGGGAGGTGGGCTGGCTGCACCTTCTATTGTCTTAGAGCAGTGATTGCAAACCTTTTGAGCTCCGCATGTCAGCATTTTGAAAAACCCTAACTTTGGTGCCGTGCCACATATAGAAATTTTTTGATATATGCAACCATAGTAAAACAAAGACATATTTTTGATATTTATTTTATATATTTAAATGCCATGTAACAAAGAAAAATCAACCAAAAAAAATGAGTTCGCATGCACCTCTGGCACGTGTGTCATAGGTTCGCCATCACTGTCTTAGAAAGAGTGCGTGATGGCTGGAAAGGTAGTTGTGAGGATGTCCTGGGAGTGCTGTTCAGTGGCAAAGATTAAAACACATGTCACCCCCTAGAAGCAGGGGCTGCTTAAGTCATAGAGTATGTCCACATGGCATCTAAAAAGATTAAAAAAAAATTACTAAGAGCTTGGGATACAAAAAATCCTGACTCTAAAATATTATGTACATGTCCCATGTGAATCACAAGATGTGCATATACAGAGAAAATTTAGCAAAATGTTGATAGCAGTTATCTGTTGTGATTGGGTGATGTTTAATTTTTTATTAACTTGCTTATCTACCTGTAATAACAGAAATGCAAAAAACATTTTCATGTAAGTAGTTTTAATTGTATTTTTAATGATAAGTAGTATATTCAAAAATACCACAGGAAGGTACAGAGAAGAACATGCGAAGCCCTGGAAATCTCGCTGGTGTATTAGGGTTGACTCTAGAACCAACATTTCCTTCCTTTCAGATGTTACTTCCTTACAGATGTTTATATCCTACCATCCATGATCCCAAACAGGAACACAGTACCTTGCATCTCTAACAGGAAGGTGATTTACTTTACTACCCCAGCAGAAGGAAGATTTTCTTCTTGCCCAGCAACAAGCCCAGCCAATGGAAAACGCCACAGTTCAGCCACTGAGAAGGCGTGTTGTCACCCTGAACTCTTAATTTCCTCCAATGAACTTTCATTTTTCTTTTGCTAATGACTTCCTTGCCTAACCTTCCTTTCTAGAAAAGCTTCCCATTTTGTATAACTCCTCGGAGTTATCTGCTTGCTGATTTGATGCTGCCTGAATCATGAATCATTTAATAAAGCCAATTAAACCTTTTAAATCTACTCAGTTGAATGTTGGTTTTGTAACACTTCACTTTCAATAAGTTTCTGTCACTCCGCGGTGCTGTCTGTCTCCACTCAGGTCTCTTATAGTGCTAGTCCCTCTTCCTAGCTCACGCTGCCCGCCCGCAGGTGTCACTCTCTCGCATTCTGCTCCTCTTCCGGTCTCAGTTCCAACATTACCTCTCTGAGCGGCTTCCTGACCAGCCCACACAAAGTGGCTTCAGCTCTGCTCACTCGGTATCACCCTACTGGTCTGTCAGTCCCCTGTCCCGGGGGACTGCTTTGGTCACTCGAGGCCACTTGTTTGAATCATGTATGTTCCATCTTCTCGTACGAGGATGTCAGTTCCAGGAAAAGGACCCTGAGCCTGCTCTACGTTGTTTACCATATCATGTGTCACCAAAACTTTTTAAAAAGGCTCTTCAAAGACATTAAAGTTCTCTTTTGAGACAATTTCAAAGTGCAGTGTGGAGGAGGAGGGGGTGGGGGAGGAGCAGACGGGCTTGATGTTGAGTATTGCTCACAGCCCGTGACAGGGGACTGACAGACCAGAGGTCAGGAGACCCGCGATTTTCCAGTTGCTGCAGGTCAGTGCCACATCACACCACCCGCCTTTCACAATATTTAAAAACACACGTCTCTCAGCTTTTGAAACCAGCTCACCCACTTTCTTAGTTCTTCCTACTAACCCACATCACACATGAGCCCCAGTGGCAGGGGCTTTCTGAGGGGGGACACTGGAAGAAGGGAGCTGGGAGGACGCGACACCCAGAGAAGAGCTGTGACGATTCCCAGAAACTTACAGCTGAATTTCAAAGACAACAGGCATTCAGAAGCCATGACCTTCTGAGCAGCGGGACTGAGCAGCAGCCTCGCTGAGCTGGCGCTATTAAAACCGAGGTGCTGAAAAGATGGCTCTCGAGCTTTTTAGGGTCATGGCACCAATTCAAATACCAGAGATTTGAGGAAACCGTTGAAGAGATGAAGACTAAAGGGAGCACTGTGTTAGCAATAAGTGCAGCAGACAAAGGCTCCTGTCCCTGCGAAGATCTCCCTGGGATGGGGGTCGGGGTCACCATCTCCAGCCCCCTTGGCCACTCCCGCTGTGCTCCAGGGCAGAATCCCACAGCTGCCGGCACATTGTTCTTTTGTGAGAGTTTGATTCATGCTAAACCACCTCCCTCCCTTGTAGTAAATTGTTTCTAATCTGCGCCCTGTTCCTCAGACAACTCAGGTCAAGTTCTGACAGACCTTGCCTGTGGGCAGACTACTCAGCGGTAGGAAAATGAGGTGCATTTGTTGACTGGAATTGGGCAAGGATTTCCTGGTGGAGCAGAGTGTCCGACACACTTGCTGGGGACAAGGCTGAAACCTTACTCCCACATCGAACATGCGTGCTCTGCAGTCTGCAGTCACCAGCCCTGCTTACCCCCGCAACCATCCCCCCCCCCCCCCAAGTCTGCACTAAGTAAAGGACCGACCGTACTTGATTTTATAAAGCTAAGAAATAGGGGTCAAAAAACATATTGAAGCAGAATTATAAAAGGTCTTAAGTGATATTAAAAGGTGTTAAACAGGCACAAAGAAGCCATTAATTAATGAATTTACTTAACAAATATTTATTGAGCATCTCCTGTTTGCCAGGTTGATTCCTAATTGAATGGTGGGGAGAGAGCGCTGTAAAAGCAAATTCCCTTCTTCACAGAGCTTCCCTCCCCATGGAAGACAAATAATAATGAAACACAAGCAAGTAAATATATAGTCAATAAGGACTGGTGACAAGGCAAGGGCGGCGTAGGGGAATAGAGAGGGGGAGGGTGTGGCCCTGATACACACTGTGGTCTGGGAATGACTCACTGCCAGGATGACGTCTGAGAACAGACCTGAAGGAAGTGAGAAAGCTGAGGGAGCCTGGGCTGTAGTTTCCCCAGGGAAGTTCAGCACAGGCAGAGGTGGTAGGAGGTGCAAAGGCCCTGGGGCAGGAACACATTTGCATCATCGGTGGCCAGTGGTTGGAGGAAAATATTTGCGTGAGGAGAAGAAATCAGGAGGGGATGTTGAGAAGTGAGACATGGGCAAGATCAGCTCGAACCTCGGTAAAGATTCTGGCTTCTACTATGAGAAGCTAATGGAGATTCTCACCAGGAGTGACATACTTTACGATGTTCCCTCTGGGAGAATGAACATGCAGACAAGGAGGCCAGGGGAGAGATGCTGGTGGGTTTTGAACCAGGGTGGTGTCTGTGGGAGAGACGAGAAGTACTCATTAATTTCTAAATAGATTTTGCAGATAAAATGGAAATCATTTGCTAATAGATTCGCTATGGTGTGGGAAAGAAAGATAAAAGATGAGGATGACTCCAAGGTGTTTAGCCAGGGAACTGGAAAAATAACATTCCCATGGATTGACATGGAGAATACAAGAGGTGTGGGTTAGAATAAAAAATAAGAAATTTGATTTTGGAAAACAAGCGATTAGTGTCTTGTGCTGTCCATTACTAACCACCTGTGGGATTCAGATTTACATTTTAATTGATGAAAGTTACATCAAAGTAAGAAATTCAATTCCTCAGTTGCACTCACAATATTTCAAGTGCTCAATACCCACTTGCGTGTGGCTGCTGCCAACAGACTGGACAGTGCGGTGTCACCGACCTTTTCGTCACTGAGAAAGGCCCACCGGGCGCGCTGGAGACACACCGCCTTCGCTGTGCGCTGGGCCCGGTGCCATGTGCTTCCTGTGCACATCCCACCGAATCTCCAATCAGCTCCACAGGTCAGACAATGTCATATATTTACAGAGGATGTGACTAGAGTTCAGAAGAGTTAAGAAACTTGCCCTAAGTCACACAGCTCTTAAAGGGCAAAAAGCCAGAATTGGATTTCAGGAGTGTCTGCTTCCAAAACCCAAGCGCTCTAGTTTAGAAGGCTAAGCTAGTCTGAAATCAGACGTGACATCCAACAGGGACCCGTCCACCAGGCTATGGGCAGCGAGTGTTGAAGCCCAGGAAGGAACCGGGAGAGCTGGGAGATCTGGGGCAAAGGGAGGCTCCCGGAGACCTGTGTGCTTAGAACTAACAGGACACACTCCAGCGCTCACCAGTTCCGAGGAAAACACACCCTCTGCAGGTCTAGTTCATTCCTCTGCCTAAGGGTCTATTGATGTTAAAGGGTCGTGTAGCAGAAAGAAGGGCTTAATTGACACCAGGTAATATAAAGTTCAGATCCTGTCCTACCCCGTGATTCTCAGCTAGGTACGGTGCCACTTAGAAGACATCTGGAATGTACGGGGTGCTCGGGGTAGGCTGAGGGGGGCCACGGGCGTTGTGTGGCAATGACTTTAAGACGCTGATCCCTCGATGCTGCTGCAGCAGCACAACGCAGAGAACTTCTCACCCACCGAGTCAGGGCTCCGCATCGAGGGCAGCATGGCCCTCGAGCAATGCCCGCCCATGAGCTGAAGGATGGAAGTGAGGACGTGGTGGGAGGCAGTGGCCCAAGACGTGTGGGACACACTGCTCCCCAGTCTGCTGTGGGCTTGCCGTGCGGCTGGGGGCCGCTGCCTGGACTCACTTTTCTCAACTGAGTCATGCAGAACACAACAGTGAACACCCATCTGGGGTGGCTCTGAGCATCATAACACAGAAATATTGGCCCAGGGACATAAATGTACTGTTGTCAGAAGCAGGATGAGGGGACGAAAGAGGAACTCCAGGATGGAGACGAAAATAACCAAGATGGTGAAGTATGGTAGCAATCATCTCAGGTAGAAACTGTAGTTTAACTCTAAGCCTGCTGTTTGGTTTCTGTACTTATTTGCTTGCTAAACTAATAGAAAAGTTATTTTAATTTTCTGAATTATATAAATCACCCCATTTGATTAAATACCCTATTGATTGTAATGTGAATATCCCATTGGTTGTGGTCATACTGGTCTTAGAAAGCACACTTTCCTTTACCTGGGAAGGACAGCACAGTTATCCCAAGGTCAGAGGGCTCCAGTTAACGTGTCCCTGTTGACTCAGTGTTCCGGAGACCCAAAAGCTGTAATTTAGATCAAACCAGGTTCCTCATTCCAGACCCGAGGGCTCTAGATAATGTTTCTGTCAGAGACCCAAAACTATAATTTAGATTACATGCTGCTTCTGCTTCTGTAAACTGCTTTTTTGCGAACCGCGTTCCTCATTCCAAACCTTTGGATGTAATCAATACCTTTGTGATCTTTGCCTGTATAAATCTGGTGTTGCAGCCATCATATCAGTATTATGAGATTTGGGAGATGCCCCCTCATAGTCCCAGATTTGCAATAAATGTGACTCTTTAATTCAACTTCTTGAAGCGTCCTTGTGTGATTCGCAGGGTACATGACAACAATGGGAAGTCAGGTAGAGAAGCCTGTGGAGAGCAGCATGGTCCCATAGAAAACATCGCAGGTTCAGTTCCCGACAGCAGTGAAGCGATGGCGTCTTTCCGTAGGCCTCATGAGCAACCTCTGCAGCTTCACTTTCAGGCCCACTTTCCGTCCGCAGCCTCGCACCTCTCAGCCTCCGCAGGACTGAAGTGAGGGCCTTGCTGAGCGTGAGGCTTTGTCTTGAGGGAACGTTGGGGCTGGTTTGATCCCTCCAGACCACTAACATACCTCCAGTCTACATACCGGCAGTGGGGCCCTTCCACTTTCTTACCACTCCTATCAGCACTTTCAATGTCCTTCAAGGGTGTTTCCTTTGCTTTCACTTGACTGTTTGGTACAAGAGGCCTCGCTTTCAGCTTATCTCAGCTTCCGACCTGCCTTCCTCCCAAGCTTGCTCACGTCTAGCTTTTCATTTGAGGTAAGAGACGTGTGACTCTTCCTTTCACTTGAACAAGGAGGGGCCACTGTAAGCTTATTAATTGGCCTAATTTCAATATTTAAATTACAAAGTGTTTATGGCTATTTTTCCATGACAACTGTCTTTGTCACAAATTTAAGATTCTCAAGTTGACACATAGTTCAAATAGCATAGGGCAAGCTTAAGTGATGGGCAGTGTATCTGTCACAGAAGTAGCTCTCTCTATAATTTCAATATAGTACCCTCAAGACTACCCCAGACTCTATGGGATTCATTATTGTTAAAACTCATCCCTAATTTCCTATAAAGTTTTTTTTTTCTTAAAAAAAGCATACAACAGTGGTATAGCATAAACACATTTATTTATTAACGAAACGGTCGATCTTAATTAAACCAACTCAGAAATAGTTGCATGTAAAACGGTTGTGATAACTGAACACGGTAATGGGGGAAAAAGCGTGGAGAGATTTGCTCATTGAACTGAGCTTTGTTTATCCTCATGGCTAACTCCCGCCCGGAAGGATGAAGGAATTCTCACTCCACTTTCTCATAGACCCGAGTACAGTTCACATTGTTCATGACGCATTCCTGGGAGAGAGAATGATATTGATGAGTTAGGTCTTGTGTCCTAGGGCAATGGTGGAAGTTAAGTGCTAGGATCAGAATCCTATGAAACCCTGTCATCTGTTTTACAGGTGAAGAACATACATGTTAGGATTCCTGGGTTTTGTAAAGCTGGAACCTGTTATTCTGCTTAAGATATGCATGTGTTTAGCGGAACTAATGTACTGATTTGTAGTATCTAAATTACTCATTTGGTCTTGACAAACAGTATTCCTCATTTTAAAGTGTGTTTTTTTAAAAATTGATTTTAGAGAGAGAAAAAGGGAAAGGGGTAGAGAGAAATACCAATATGAGAGAAACATTGATTGGCTGCCTTCCATGTGCACTCCGACCAGGGATTGAACCCCCAACCTGGGTATGTGCCCTGACCGGGAATCAAACCCGCAACCTTGAGGTGTACAGGACGATGCACAGCAGGGCCCGGAGTGGACCCAGCCCGGCCACACCACTGCCCATCCCCTCTCTTCTCTGTCCCACAGAGGACTTTGTAGTGTTCAGTGCTTAACTTGTCATTGTGCACTTTTCCACCCCGGCCTCGCTGCCCTGCTTACGATCATCGACACACAGTTCTGTGGACTACGAGCGCAAATGTGACGCGAGCGGCCAGAGGCCGGCGCTTACCACCACTAGCTTCCCGCCCTCCAGCCGCCGCGTGATGGTGCTCTCCTTCCCGTCCCACTCCTGGTGCTGGACCAGCGCGCCGTTGACGAAGTTGCAGACGGTCTGCAGAGATAAAGTGCACTTTTTAATTTTCCAGAGGACGTTACCCAGCAGGTCCCATGACACATAACCTCCTTGATCAACATTTTTTCAGCTTTCCCATTCTGCGTCTACTTCAAGCCAGTCTCACTCATAATATAGTTGATGCTTGTCAACCTAGATGCACATAAGAGACACTCAAATGCTCATGTTCCTTAAACTAGTTTTACAAAGTAGACTAAGTTGTGATACTGGTCCTTTCACACTAATTTGTCAACTCGAGTCATAAAATAACTTGGGATGTCTTTTATTCAGCAGCTCCTGCCTGTAAATGCCAGAATGTTATTCATACAATCTATCATTCTCAAAGCTTCTGTGAGTGTGTAAGTGATGCCTGACCTGAGTTTTCCTGCCATCTGCTGTAGTCTCTTCAAACTTCTCTCCCAGGTTGCATGAGAACTGGGTGGTCTTCAACGTGCTCTCGGTTTTGACGGTGAGGTGTGTGCCGTCGGAAGTGATGACACAGTCTGGCTTGGCCATGGCGCCCATTTTCCGCAGAGCCATTCCCACGCCTGTGAATGCCAATCACATTCATTGTCAGGAGGACCAGAGTTACAGCTTACAGAATGCAAGATTAGAGCCCACTGTAATTACTGTGCTGGGCGTATTTTCACATACTCACTCCTAAGAACTATGGTAAACACAGGCCCAGTGCTCACCACGTGCTAGCACCAGACACAGAAGCCAGAAGCCTTGAGACCACCCTGTGAGCGGGGCTATAGCATTGTCTCCATTCTGCAGATGACAAAGTGAGTCACTGAAGTCACCCACGCAAGCTCGCTCAGCTAGGAAGTGATGAGCTGGGAACCACTGATGCAGGCAGTATGGCTCCAAATCTCAGCTCGTGGACACTGTGCTCTGATGGCCGCCGGAATGTGCGGGAAGCACCCGGACTTCTAAAATTCACTTACTCAGCTCTGCCGGCCATCGTGTGACAGGACTCCAGCACACAGTCCGGCACAGACAAGGCCCTGGTAAACATGTGATCGATATGCTATGCACATAGAAATCGATGCTGAGATACTCCAATAGGGCAATGTTTTAAGAGGTAAAACAGCACAGTCATGGTGGTAACAAATGAAAAAGTCTTCCCCTCAAAAACAGAGAACATTTCATAGTTGTGCAACCCAATTACTCCATCGGCATCAGATCTAAGTTATAACTGGTGTATTTCATTTGCAAGAAAACTTAGACTAGGACCAAGGCCCTATTTCAGATGAGATGACAACCTACACAGAAGCGCCGGCTTGATGACGGACACTCTGCCGGGCCTGCTCAACGTCCCCGGGAGCCATCTCGTCTGCCGGCACATGGCCTCGCAGAAAGACCTCGAGGGGAGTTTCTGCAGCTGCAGGGGCCGTCACCCAGAGGAGCCCCTAACGGCGGGAGGGCGGGCAGCTCTGAGCCCTCCTCATCCCGCAGTGGTCTCAGGGCTGGAAGCCCCTGGCAGACAGGACCCAGGCTCCGCCACTGCATCTCGCTTCCTGATGGCCTGCAACAAAGGCCTATTTTTGTTTGCGTATCTACTCAATGCCTCAACCAGCATGCCATCCCTGTCACTGCTTAGGACAGGATGGGATGAACCGCTGTTTGAGACAGTGAACTTGAACCTTCTCCCAGGCACCCATTCTCCTACCTAGGCTTTAAGAAGTCTGGGGCCATTTGCAGGGCCACGCCCCTCCTGCCTGCTGGTAGGGAGTCCAGCTCTTCTCCAACAAAGACCACCCACCCTCCACAAGCAGGGGTCCAAGCAGCGGTGCACAGCCACCCGCCCACAGTGGCCCCAGACACACAACGCCACACGAGGTCAGCACTGCTGGCGCCACGCCTCTGGGGTCGGAGGGAAGGATGCCCCAGGCCCCAGGAAGCTGAGCCACGCAAGCAAAGGGCTGGGTGGGGGCGAAAGCTGAACAGAAGCTGGGGTTGCATCGGGGTTCAGACCTTCTACAGGCGCCGGCCGGGAAGTGGGAGGGGACCTGAGCGCCTTGGAGGAACAAAAGATGCGGCAGAGCAGCGCAGGGTGGGGAAGGGGCGGTGGGTGCAGCCACTATGGGGCGAGGCAGGAGGGTGGCAGGAGGAGGGATGAGTGGTGGGGATAAAAATACAAACAGGGGGAAAGGGTACGTAGCCGAGCTGGGTGTACCAGGCGGCGGGGCATCCCCGGACTCCTGGGACCGCCGGGCGCGCACGCCCCGCTCTCCGGCGGCTGGGCCGCGTGGTGCAGCGCAGCGCGGGGACCCGGGCCGCGTGGCGGGGACTGCGGGCCGGAGGGCGGCTGGCGGTGGCGGCCCAGCAGGTCCGCCCCTGAGCCCGGAACGCCGGAGGGGACCCGGGACAGACCCGGGACACACACACACAGACACACACACACTCGTACGCCACGTTGCGGACCCCGCCGGGCCGGTGCCTCACCTAGTTCCTTCATGTACTCGTCGAAGCCTTTGCTCTCCACTAAGCGCCATCTCCCGACCAGCTGCTGGATGGAGGCCATGGTGCGCGCGGAGTCGAGCGGGACCGGAGCGGAGCGGAGAGGAGCGCGGTGATGGAAGCGAGCGTGGCGGGAGCCGCCGGGGAGCGCGGCTGCTTTATATCCGCGGCGCGGGGCGGGGCGGCGCCGAACGGCCAATGGGAGGCGCGCCTCGCCGCCCTGCCCCGCCCCGCCCCCGCGCGCTCTGGGGTCGGAAGGTGTGGACAGGTTCCACCGGCCCCAGACCCGGCTCCTCCCGCAGCGCCTGCAGGCGCGGACCCTCCCGGCGTGCCCCACGCGCCCCACGCGCCCCACGCGCCCCACGCGCCCAGACGCGGCCCCGATAGGTTCCCGCTCCCCTTCACGCCCGGGAAGCCAGAGGGTCGCCCGATCACCCGCCTCTCCCGGGCCCCAGCCTCACCGCCAAGCCCCGTTTCCGGTTAAAATACCAGCGCGTAGATGGGCCCTCCCCGGGCTCGGGCGCTGGGAGGGGTCGGTCAGCGGGTTGGCTGCCTGATGGATTGATGTATTCGCCTGGCTCATCTGGGCTCCAAGTCACCGAACAAACGCACATGCCACACCCTCCCGAGACACCCGGCCCAGTTAGGACCTCAAGGTGAGTATAGACCTGAGTTAGACGGTTTTATCAGAGGGTGCGGCATGGGTGGAGGTGTCCCCGGAAGTTCGGTTTCCAAACGAAAACTCCGTAGGAAGTTTCAGCTTAAGTGCCTGTGGTTGCAATTCAATGTCCCCACGCGGGAATGTTCATTAGTGCACATTCCCAGAGGAGCGAGCCCTTCAGCTTCTTCTGCACCCAGAGGCGGCAGACCCACGGCCTCTCCTCTGCGCCGTTAGCCACCACAGCGCCTAGTACCTGCATAGAAGGCATACTGTTCACGGTGGACGTGTCACAGGAGCGGACCCTGGTCTCCGTGGGGAAGGGTGGGTTCGGGTGAGGGAGCTGCCACGCAGAGAGGCGGCTCCTTGATGGACCTGTGGTCCCGGGCACTTCACAACCGGTAGCTGATCTCCACCCAGGTTTTGCTAACAGGTGTACCCCAGCTTTTTAAAGAGGAAAGAAGGCAGGGAAGGTTGGGGGAGTGCAGGGCCGAATCCCAGTCCAGGCCTTCTCCCTGCAGAGCCTGTGAAGTGGGACCACACCTGGGGGCCTCTGGCCACAGCCCCTGCGCCCAAGCTGGTGTCATCTCCCAGCATGCCTCAGGGCGTTTTCTCGCCTCCCCGGGCTCCCTTTCATTTTAAGTCCCTGCCCTAAGTTTAGGTCACCCCAGCTTTCCTTTTGTGCTGTTTCAATATTTCAGGCTTGGTTTCTATTTGGGTAGTGTAGTAATCAAATATTTATCGAGGGCCTTTGATGTGTGAGACTGTGCCGGGTCCTAGCATATATGATTTTAGGTACCATCTTCTACTGAGCGCACAGTGTGCATTTGTCTCAGCCTGCGCTGCGCTCTGCTGCTCTGAGGGCAGCTGAGGGTCATTGCTCAGTGATGCTAGAACTGGCTTCCAGCCGCCTGGGCGGGTAGTGGCTGCTTCCCCCGCCCCCCCCCCCCCCCCCCCCCCCCCCAAACACACACACACAGGCAGCCGCTGTGGGCTTGCACTTGCATTCCTAATGTGCCCATCCAACATTTACCCGTTTTTGTATAGAATAAGGTAATAATAGCCAGGACTCAGCACTGACATACTACATTTTAAAGACTCATAATCAATCCTGTTCCAGAAACATCAAAAGGGAAACGTCACTATAATACTAAATATTTAGGTGCTTAAGAAATCGTTTTTTAAGCCAGAGGCATTACCTGCAACTTAACTTTTAAACACACTTTGTGATGTGATAAGTGGAAACAATCCTTTTGTGGTTAAAACACATCAACAAACAGATATAGGCCAACATCTATGAGTGTCTCCCTGGGACAAAGGGCCTGGCGAGGGCTCTGCTACTTCCGCCGGGCGCTCAGTCCCGCTCTCCAAAGCCTCCCATCAGTAGTATGTGCACAGACAGGGACTGGGGCGGGTCGTTTCCAACGTCCTGCAAACCCAGATTCCCTTTCTTCCTTAAGAGGAATGGCAATGGATTTCAAGCTCCGAAAAACAGCAAGCACTTCCTTCACCTGCTAGCTAGAGTCCTGGTCTAGGCCACTTACCTTGAGCCCCATGTGAGGCATAAAAACCAAAAATGTGAAGACAAATCTGGTGAAAGTCCTGTAGGACTTGATGGTTGCCTGAGTGTTTCTTCTTTGGAGAAAGGGGAGCGTTTTCACCTGATTGAGATGAATTGCATTACAATACAGGGCACAAGGGCCGCCTGTGGTCTTGCCTGTCCTTACACACAGAATGGGGGCATCTGGGTGTCACGCCCTTCCCTCCTTCCCACTGCAGGACAGTAACACATTCTCTTCTGGAGGAAAGTGGTTGAAAATCAGGAATTACCAGCAACTCTCCCCTGGTCTCTCTAGAAAGCTTCCATTTATAAGACAGATGCCGTTTTACTTACTGTCACGGAACCTGAGTTTTCTTGCCTGTGAAATTAAGATGGTAAGAATTACACTAAATGATTTCCCATGGCCCTAAAAATATACTCAGAATTACTCTATTTCCACCTAGTGGCACAACGGAACATTTCCCGTAGGTTTTCTTTGACAAATGTTAGCTTGTCAGCTTCACACCGAACAGTCGCACACATAGCTTGGGTGTGTATTGTGTGATTTTATTTAAAGACACCTTCCCAGGAACAGCTTGTGTGGATAAATGTGCCTTCCACATAGCTGGTTATGGGGTGTAATCAGTCCCTAAGGACAGAAGGCGTGCAGCTGATAGAGAAACAAAGAGCAGCCCATTCAGCAAATCCCTGCAGCTCATCATTCAGCAAATCTTCTCTCAGTACATGGCTGGATTAGTCCAAAAGGGGAGAAAAATTAAAGCGATCACTATAAAGCCGTACTTCTCAAATTTCAGTATGCAAACCAATCGCCGGGATCTTGTTAAAACGTGGGCTGATTCAGTACATCCAGAGGAAGGTGCAAGGTCAGCATTTCTGACAGCCTCCCAGGGCTGCCAGTGGTGCCGCTTGGGTCCGGGTGTTGAGGGCAAGGCTGTGAAATGCGCACAGGGCCCTGCTCCACCCGCTGGCTCCACTTGAGTGATCAGTACTTCCTGGTTCTACTCCAACGTGATGCATATAGAAAAGACAGGAAACTGGACAAACGCACTCCAAACACTATCTGACCCAACCTGTGGACTTTTAAAACATCAGCCTTAGGTAGGTATTTTTCTGTCTGCTCACCGTTCCGGGAGCCTGGTAAGAGGCTTCGAATGGGTTGGGGAGGGTGGATCATATGTTATTGAGACCGAGTCCCTCCCTTAAATTTTATAACCAGGTTTTGGATCCTGACTCGTTCTGGCTTGTCTTGCTCTAGACATGCTTACTATCCAGCTTGAAAACGGATCTTCTCTAAGAAATTCCCGCTTGGAATCAGTTCCAAAAGAAAACCCTAGTAAGTAGCTAGAGCCCAGATCTGCGTCTGGAGGGTTGTCTGCAGCAGCAGAAACCCCCGGGGGAGACAAGGGCGGGGCCACAGAGCTGAAGGCACCCCTGACGGTTCACTTCGAAATCCGCCAAGTTGCGCAGCCACAAGGACTTGGCAGTCGCCACCAGCCATCGATGGAAGCTTGCTTTGAGTCGTTTGGGGTAATAAAATGATTTCTCATGGAAGGACTTGTAGAAATGGGGTTATTTTATGAACTTTGTTCTTTTCTTTAAGCAGTTCGAATCTTACACAACAGGGCAGTTGCCTAAAATGACCTGGTCTAGCTACAGGGGAAATGAGACGTTGCAAAAGTTACGGTGAGATGTGATTGGTTTCGCAATAAGGTAGAAGGCAGAAGGCTCTTCTGAGTGTAAGATCAATCCATTGCCCTCACATGGATCTTCCCACTGTCCGATTTATGTGTTATTATTAAATTTGTCATTGGCTCATGGAAACACCTTGCAGAAGCATGTAGTATGGGCTGACCTGTTCATGCCTCAGGTGGACAAGTTCAAGTCTCAGGTCTAAAAACACAACATACGACACCTAAGGGGCACCTGGAAATGGAGCAGGATGAATTGTTAAAGGGCACCTTTGCCCTAAAAACACTGTAAAAGCAAAAAACCTCCCAACTCAGTTTTTCCACTGGAAGAAACCAAATTCTTTTCATCCAGATGGCACTTCCCCATTTTCAGCCTCCCTCCCGTGCAAGAGTCCATGACTTATCATTCTTTCCCCCAGATTTCTAGCACATTTGATCATTTTTCTTTATTGATGTTTAGCCACAGGAATTAATGAATTTTCCGATCAAATCTACAAAACCACAGGCTTGCTGGCTTCCGAGCTTTTTACCCTGATGGTCGGGCTCACAGTTTCCTTTTGCCTGAATGAACTCCTCAGGACTTCACAGCCTGCCCAAATCCAACTTAAGACGTGGCTGCTCCGGTCTCTGGTCCTCTGGAGTGGGTGGGGGGCCCTATGGGCCCTCAGAGGCGGGCACGGGGTTTCAAAGACAGTGTGGGGTGTTCTGTGTGCCCCCCTCACTGAGCCGGGAGGGGATCCTACCTTCTGTCCACCCACCGCAGATGCCACAGCTCACGTCTCATTCACCTGTGCCGGGGTCCAACCCCAGCGGGTCCAGGGGTCCCCAAAGGTGTGGATGGAGTCGGCGAAGAAGGAATGACACGGAGACAGCGTTCAGTTGATCAGCAGCCTAGCCAGGATCTCTAGCCAGGATCTCCAGCCAAGTTCTGGTCTGGATCTCCAGCCAGGTTCTGTGTCCATGTTCTCTTGCTAGGTTCTCCAGCCAGCTTCTCCAGGTTCTCCAGCCAGGTTCTGTCCAGGTTCTCCAGCCAGGTTCAGTCACCAGGTTCTAGTCAGGTTCTCTTGCCAATTTCTATAGTCAGGTTCAGTCCAGGATCTTTTGCCATGTTCTCCCCAGTGAAGTTCTGTCTCTAGAGAACGTTCTGTGTAGGTTCTGTGCCTCCTGGTTCTGTCTTCTGAGTTCTGTGTTGTTACATCTGTATTTATACCAGTTGATTCCAATCCTATCAATCTCTATTACAAAGGTTAGGGCGTTTCTTATCTCCATTCCGGGGAGTAAAGATTATGTAGCTTAAGCATGATTGTTCGTAGTTAAAGTGATTAATTACCCGCCTGGCACTTAGTTAAGAGGTTTTATTCCCTCCCTAACTTCAGGGGAAAATCCCTACCTGGGGAAACAACCTTTCTCAGAGAGGTGACCTTGGTTAAAACACATAGTGCCAAGAAGGTGAGCAAACATATTAAGAACAGTATGCCATATATGCCAGGTCCCTTGAAACAGCAAGCATGGACCGGCTCCCGGCACACCTGCTCACGTCTGCACTGAGCAAACGCAAAGGGGGAAATTCAACCGCGTGGAGTAAAGGTTTGTTGGACTTCCCCTGCATTTCCCCACACGCTCCTGCCTCTTGTACTCCCGAATTCCTCCTTTGACAGCAATAATTTCTCAATTATGTGACTCCCTGTTAATAACGAGAAACCAGTGTGAGGTTCCAGGAAAGCACCTCTGTCTTCCAGGTTGGCTAAACTCGGGGTGTTACCAGAGAGCGACCGTGGCCTTGGCGGGGGTCTGTCTCTGAAGGTGGCATGGAAGTATTTGTGCCACACGTCCCACTCTTGTCACCCATCGCAGCCTCAGGATTCACAGTGCAGTGCTTTACTCAGGTAGGCTCAGGGGGGGAGGTGGTCTCAGCTGCCTGAAAACGGGCACACAGAATGGGGGCATCTGTCCCTGTCAGGGACAGGCCTGAGCAGTGCTTCCTCCCACTCCGAGCATCTTAGACTGGACGGTGTCGGATGGAGAATGGTGAATTCATTCTCACCCACCGGCAGCTCCAAAGCCGAAACTTCACGTGAGGCGTTAGGAGGGCGCTCTGGTGGCGTCCAGCGCGAAGGCTGGAGGCGGCCTTTCCCTCCCGACACGGATCCGTCACACGTGGCCCCTCCGCTCACCGGCAGGACAGACAGCCCTTCCAGTCACGGCGGCCTGCGGTGGGGCCTCCCCGCGGTCACGTGGAGTCGGATCCAGCCCGCATCTCCCGGGCTGTGTGACCCGAGCTGCTACCAGCTGCGGAATGCGTTTCTTTTGATTTTTCTTCATTTCACAAACATTAACATTTTTTCTGTTCTAGTTCAGCACATTCTGAAAATTCCCAAGTATTAATAAATGCCTGAAAATATCAGATACATTTCATCTCTATAATGTTAAGTGAATTTTCCAAGACACTACCACAGATAACTGGGGGTGGGGGGGAGGGAGCACCTAGTCCTACCGCATTCATCTGGAGCTGGAAACTGCAGGTTGTGGTCAGTGGATTGGCCGGCCATCTCTCTAGCAGGAGCCAGGTGGCGTACTGAACGGACACAAAGTGATCTTCCAAACTGCGCCAAATGCGCAGAGACACCGAGGAGCGCCCTGCTCAGGCGGAAGGTCTGCTGGAAGCAGCGCTGGGTGAGAGACCCTGAAACCACAGGCACATCTCACCCAGGTGCCCCGTGCTTTCCAACTGGTTCATCGCCAGGACCTGGCAATAAGCTGGCGCCTGGCTGTCCCCAGGTTTCTGGGTACAACTTGCATTGGAATCACCTCCAGCAGCGCACAGGTCCAAATGGGCTCTCCAGCTCCCCAGCCAGCCTGGGGGGGTGGGGGGCGTGGGGAACCAGGATGTCCGCTGTGGCCCTTCCCTCAGGACATCGACATCTGCCTGGATAGACAAAATGCACGGGCGAAGCTCTGTCTAAAGGCCCTCGTCCGCCCGCAGAAACCCTGCCTGGTTCCAGGGGAGGAAGGCGGTCTGTCATGACCAGCTTTCTGGAATTGGTCGCAAGGAGGAAGCTGCTATCCTGTCTGCAGTTAGACTATCAGTGCATCACACAAAGTAGTAAAAACGCCCGCCGGTCCAGAAAGACGGAGGTGTGATAGCGAACCCCCCTTCCCCCCCACCCCCCAGAGGCCCAGGCCCAAACCAGTCTTACAACAAACCCCTCAAAGTGACATGAGTCTCCGCTGTCCTAGAGTAGGACAGTTCTAGAAACAGGCAAGAATGTCCCTTCCAGGGTCCCTTTGAATGTCACTTACTATGTGAAAGTTACTTTGTCACTTTCTATATTTATATAGGTGTTGTTTTTTTTAATTTTTCTTCAAATTGAATATCTTTCTTAGTTTTATTTTTTAAAATGGAATATCTTTCCATTGTATCATACTTTTGCATTTTGGTTGACCTAATAGCTTCTGAGATGATTTATAGAACTTGGGATCTGGAATGGAAAATCATAACTGCCTGTATCTAACTTAAAAGCAAGTGGGAAGCAAGCTGGTTTGGCTCAGTGGATAGAGCATCAGTCTGTGGACTGAAGGGTCCCAGTCAAGGGAACATGCCCAGGTTAGGAGCTCTCTCCCCAGTAGGGGGCGTGCAGGAGGCAGCTGGTCAATGGTTCTCTCTCATCATTAATGTTTCTCTCTCTCTCCCTCTCCCTTCTCTCTGAAATAAATAAAAATATATTTTTTTTAAAAAGCAAGTGGGAATATAAATCTGAATTGGAAGAAAATACAGTAAGTCACTTCAGAATTCAGCAAACCCTTGATTTATTGCTTTCCAATAAACTTGAGCAGTGGCCCCCAATCTTGTGAAAACTCTAAGGTTCCCCTTTGCTGTGAGCTTCGCTGGGCTGGGCAGGGCCGCGTGGGGTAGGCCAGGCCCTGGTTCTTACAGGGCTCACTCTCTGTGCCAGGCCTTCAGGGCTTGGAGGGAGCCCAACCAGCTCAGGTCACCAATGCTTATTCAGAAGTGAAATGCGATCCCTGGTGCCCACACCCCAGTCACACCATTTGTAATTGCATATTTTGGCAGTAACTCCTGCTCAGACCTGACCTCGGCCTAATTAGCTGTCACTTGAGCAGGCCTAGTATTAGCGCATTTTTAAAAGTTATGTAGTTTCATTGCTGGACATAGATTTGTGTGACCTGGATTCAGAACTGAGGGGGCATCTTAAAGCCCTGGTGTTTGGAGGGATTATAGATATCTGCTACTTCAGCCAAAGCCCACAAAAGTCCCTCAAATACAAATAAATCCGGTCTCACTGTCTGGTGTTAGAGGCCTCCCTTCCCATGTTTAGCAGTTCTTAGGGGGTGGGGGGTGGGGGGGGGGTGGGGGTGAGGCGGGGAGCCCAAGCCTATTGTGGAAGTCTGCTGCCAGTCATTTCTAGTACTGGACATAGTTGGACCCGCTAGCATAGCATAGAATGTTTCTGCTCACTAATTCTCCCATGGTGGGCCTGTAAGTATTGAATGATGATGGCTTATCTAAATAAAAAATTGCTTAGAGACCCAAATATATGTAAAATACTGAGAAAGAGAGAACTGTAAATAAAATTCTATAAAATATCTGTATACACACTTTGAATAATTATTAATTCCAATGGGTTAATTCTGAAAAGAAACATCAATTGAGCTATCAGCTGTTAAGTGTGTATACATTAAAAAAATATGTTTTTAGTGATTTCAGAGAGAGGAAGGGAGAGGGAGAGAGTGATAGAAACATCAATGATGAGAAAGAATCATTAATAGGCTGCCTCCTGCACACCCCCTACTAGGGATCAAACCCAAAACCCTGGCATGTGCCCCAACCAGGAATCAAACAGT